TGAACCGCTTAAGAAACTGAAACATAAGAACTAAAGTCTGTGCATGTGCTGATTTTACCTCAGAGTTATCTACATGGAGTTACCTCTGAACTTTCAGCCCCTGGTTTCATCTGATCTTTCCCCGCTACACTGAATAACACATTTTGTTAATTTTGAATTTCAAAATGTCTCAAGTGGCATGTTCAGTGGTTTAAGTTAAACGGTGATCCTGACCCTTCCCCTCAGGTTCCTGGGCTGAGCCAGCAAAATATCATACTGAGACAGGGTGGGACCAATGTTCCCTCTAAGCTGTGGAATCTTCTGAGCAAAAATTCTACTTTGTGAGCTCCTGGCATTAAAGCTGTGAGCAAACAATTTGGCTACTGCATAAATTAGTTTGCTCTGGACCCATCCTTCCTGAGCTAAGACAAAAATGTGTGAGCCGGAGGCTAAAAAACTGTGAGCTAGCTCACACTAACTCAGCTTAGAGGGAACACTGGGTGGGACAGCTAGAGATCTTCAGGAAAGAAGAAAACAGGCCCCTAGGGCTGCTCAGTCAGAAAGGCAAATAGAAATGGAGGGGAAATCTTGCCTTAAAGGGAAGGGGATTGTCATATAAGCCTATGCTTTCCTTCAAGCCAGATGATAATTTAAAAAGCAAAACTTCAGACAGATTTTTAAAAAGTATAAATTCTGTACTAAGCGATCAGCTGTAATTTTCTGCTCAGGAGGTTCTGTTTAATCCCATCTAAGTCATATGTTTTCAAGTCTGCTCAGTAAAAAGAACTTGGGCTTGGGTACAGCCAGTCAAAGCAGAGGAAAGGCTTAACATACAGAAGAAAAAAGGTCTTCCAAGGAACCATAACAAACCCACTGACCACAGCATTTTACTGGAGCAATTTCTCTCAAAAGAAATCTCATTCACTATGACCTTCCTTTTTCAGTACAGGAGTTTTATTTTTCTCTCTGGTACCCAATGCTATCTAAACACGAGTTTTCTTCTGCACCCAAATCTACCCCAGTTGATATTTGCACCACTCATGAAATTGTGAGAAAGTTTTCCCCCACACTAATTATAAGAAGTGCCAAAACTTACTGAAGCGTTTTGAATACACTGGTCACAAGTCTTCCCAGAGAAAGCACCACATGCTAGAAGAGAACAAAACCTAATGTGAAATATTATTGGTTGTATAGTAAACTGTCCTGAAAGCACAAAAAGTGGTGGGATGGAGAGCTCAATTTGAATAAATATCCAAAGCTTCATTTATCTTTTAGGGTCCCGTCCCCCCGGCAGAACTGTATGCAATCTCTTAGGTCATCCAAACAAAACTTATCAGGTAAACATGACACAAGCTTACTCAGAGCTATCTATTCTGTCCCTCCCCCATGCCAACCCCTGCTCAGAGATGGCAGCAAGATCTCCTAAGACCACCCCTCATCCTGTTAAAAATGGGGTGCTGGACTAAATCGACCTTCGGTCTGATGCAATAGGGTTCATTCTATTCATCACATTTCTAACTTGCCCTTCCTCCAAGGATCTCAAGAGTGGCACACAGATGGATCTCTCTTCCCCATTTTATCCCCATAACTATTCTGTGAAGTAGATTCGTCTGAAAGAGTGATTGGTCCAATTGTCCCCCAGCAAGCTTTATGGCAGGTACGGAATTTGAGCCCAGAGCCTAATTTGATACCAACCACTATATCTCATGGGCTCTCTGTCTTATGTTCCCCTTAAAAGGGAACCCAATAGCTTCATAGCAATCTATATTTAGTTATTACCAGTTAATATAGAATACAGTATACAATATAATTAAGAGAGAATTCAAATATATCTTCAGCAGCATGCACACACACAGACATGACAAATTATTAGAACAACATGAACACTGTACCTTTGGCATCTATATTGCCAAAATTTTGCTAAACATCCTTGGCCAACTGTCAATGAAACAGTAACTAAGAGACCTTTCGGTCAAAATTCCTTTGGCCATATGCTACCCGAAAAAAACAGACAGCCATGTATACTAGATTTAGACTATAAACTTTAACGAATTTGGGCAACTACTGTTTGAGTTGTAGTTGTTGTTTTTTTGAAGCAAATCAGAATATACAACCTCAGACACCAGGCCACTGTGTATTCATACAGGGAGCACTCTTCCTAAATTAAAATCAGCGTGTATGTTGGAGAGGCCTAAAACAACCCCGCATATTTGAAAATAGGCCTAACAATAATATAGCAAAACATTTTGACCCGCTCTCATTGACTAGAGTCGGGCAAATAGGATGAACAGGTTTCACAACTAGATAATCCCATACCTACAGATGAACAGATAGAGGAGTTTTGCAGGAGCCAGTGGGGAAGGCAAAACACGGCAGGAACTGGGCAATTACATCCAATTATGCTTCTGAGTTTCCAGACTGGGCAAAAAGACTGCTATCATTCAAAAGGGAGAATAGGCAGACAGAAGGATGCCTCATTATGGCTAACTCATGAAGGCAATGCTTCCCTCCACTGTGCCAAGAAGTCAAGCTAAGCGAGGCAAAAACAGGCATCCATCTCCCTCAAAGGGCATCCATTCCCATCCACGGCCACCCATGCCCAAATGGTGTAAAGAAGAGCAGCAGCAGCAGCTTAAGGCTCTAAGCATGCTTCTCCCTTTGGCGATATTGTGCTCACAACAGTCTTGCGAGGTAGGGTAGACTAAGTGAGAGAACGACTACCCCAAACTCGTCGTCCTTCCGGGCCGACTCGAGCTCTGAATCTGGGCCTCTCAGAGGGTTGCCAGGTCACCCCTGACCACCGGCGGGGGATGGGGGGGTGTAGGGTGGCCAGATCCTGATTAGGAAACTCCTGGAGATTTGGGGATGGAGCCTGGGGAAGACAGGGACCTCAGTGGGGTACCATGCCACAGAGTCCACCTTCCAAAGGATTTTCTCCAGGGGAACTGGCCAGGCCTCCGTAGTCTGGAGATGAGGTGTAATTCCTTTGGTCCCACCTGGAGGCTGGCATCCCTCACCACGCCTAGTCCGACACTCTCTCAGCGGCAAGACCCGCGCCCCTCCCTTTACCTTGCCCGACTGGTCCCGGAGCAGCGGTGGGCGCTGGCTGCGCGGTGTCATCCTCCGTAGTTGCCGAGCAGCTCCACAGCAAGAGGAAAGCGGGAAGGCACAGGACCCAAGGCCGCCACAGCGCGGCCTCCATCTTGCCCCGCGGCTGACCTGCGCCGCCTTGTCAACTTTGGTGCTTCGCTTCCCCCGTCACTAGACTCAAGGAACCGCTCGTCGGCTCGCGCAGGCGCACTCGGAACAGAACGACTCGTCAGCCGCCTCAGAGCGACCAACCGCGTAGCTTGTTCCTTCTTGCCCCACCCCCTTCCCCTTAAAAGGGGGGCGTTTCTGTAAGAGACCCCGCCCCCTTCGCCGTCCTTTCTATCTTCTCCTTCGGCAACTGAAACGCTCAACTTTCTGCCCGCCTTCCTTCCGAATCCGGTCGCAGAAGACGGCAGTGGCCGGTGTGGAGTTTAACTCGTGCTCCACGTGCAGTTGTTGCGTTTTGTTTGGCGTACTCACACCACACTGTTTCTCTTGTTGGCTATGTTTTTAGATGACGTGGTAGTGGCCTGCATAGAAGTCCGGATGCTAAAAGTTGACATCCAAAGTCTCCTGCTAAACCAATTGCAACAACCTTGCCTTGGATCCACCTATTACCGATGATAGCTAAATGGAACCATCCTGATCTGTGGCAGTAGCCTTCTTCATACAGGAAACAACATTGGGATGCTGCTTCCTTCACGCCTTGTTTTCAAACTTTCCGTAGGCATTTGATGCAACACCATTGGGAACCAGCCAACCTGGTGTAGTGGTGGTGAAGAGCTGCAAACTCTAGCCTGGGGAAGTGGGTTTGATTCCCCACTCCTCCCCCTGAAGCCTGTTGAGTGATCTGTCAGAACTCTCTCAGCCCCACTAACCTCACAAGGTGCCTGTTCTGGGGAGAGGATGGGAAGGAGATTGTAAGGTGCTTCCAGACTCCTTAAGGTAGAGAAAAGCGGGTTATAACAACCAACTCTTCTTCTTCATTATAGTGGCCTAAAGCAAGATGTCATAAAGAGTATTGCAGTATGAGCTGTAAAAGACCAGCCTCTCCAAAATAATTTTCCCTTCTGGGGGGAAATCTAGCCCCCCCCCCTAATCATCTCTAAAAATTGAATTCCCCACCCATATCCCCTCAACTGCTCTCCAAAAACATTCCTATTTTTGTATTGTATGCTGGTCTTCAGAGCTGCAGTGGCTCAAGTGGTTAAGATGCTGAACTGCAGGCTGTGGAAGGTCAGTAGTTCAGCAGTTCGAGACCTGGGTGCCACATGATGGAGTGAGCTCCCATCTCTAGTTCCAGCTCCTGCCAACCTAGCAGTTCGAAAGCAAGAAATTGCAAGTAGATAAATAGGTGCCACTAAAGTGGGAAGGTAACAGCGTTCAGTGCGCCTTGGTGTTTGGTCATGCCGGCCACATGACCACGGAAACGTCTTCAGACAGCGCTGGCTCTTCGGCTTTGAAACGGAGATAGCACCGCAACCCTAGAGTCGAACTCGACTGGCTTTCAAGCAAGGGAACCTTTACCTTTTATGCTGCTCTTAAGAACATAATAAAAAACCTAAACTAAACTTCCCAATTTTTCCTCATTGTTCAGGGACCACTACTTGAGTATTCTTGGTGAGAGCTGTCAGCTGGGGAGGTGGGATATGACTAATCCCATTAGAATGGTTTATGACCTTTCAGAAATGTTTTATAATCAATGAAAATGTACGTATAGGATAGGCTTTGCAGATTTTTTTGCCTTACTTTCCCTCACGGGAATTGCAAAATGGCTTACGTAGCAAGAGAGAGAAACAGCAGAGTTGTTTGAAGGTAGAAAAGCAGGGAGATGAGGCTAGGTTTCTGTGCCTTTTTTAAAAAATGAGACAAATAGATACGAATACATAAAAGGATGAAACAAGCCAACCACAGTTTAAATGCTGTGGAAGCAGGCCCGTAGCTACAGTGGGGCATCTCAGGGCTGCACCCCCTGACTTACCACCCAGGCCTCCTGACTTCCCATCCAGCCGGTTTATTTTATTTTTGCACGCACCACAGCCATGCTGAGCCAAGTTTTCGTCCTGCCTTACCTGCCGGCAGTGTACCTCTGGCTGGCTGTGGGTGAGGCATGCCACAGGGTACATCTGCTCCCTCCTCCAGCCTTATCTCTCTCCTGTCACTTTTAAAAAACTTTTACTCTCCTATTGCTCCTGACACAGTGCCCCCCAACTTACTTAAATGCCCCTTGAAGTAAATAAATCCTGGCTACGGCCCTGTGTGGAAGCTGAAGGGCCAGTCCAGAGTGTGTTTTCTGGAAATCAAACTGAGAGTAAACTATTTCCATTTCACTAGTATCTTGGTTCAGATCCTATGCAAATGAGCCTCAGTCCTCCTCAGGTTCCTACCCATGATTAGCAAGACACTATATATATTTTTTCCAGTTCGTGGAGTCCGACTCCTGACTTGTACGAAAAGTACAAAAACATAAGTATTCCAGGCCAGATGTTATGGCAAACTCCAGTTTATTGTAAAACTGGAAATAATAATCTTTCCATGAGCAAAAGGAGGATGGAGCATGTGGGCCCAAGGATCTCCCAGAAAACAAATCACAACTTGCTGTTGTATCCAAACCAAATTTATTTCTGTTTTCATCCTTAAATATGCTATTTGTTTCAAGTACACTGCAGTAGCACTGAACTATTCTGGAACTGAGAACCACAAGGGTAAAAAAGAAGTCTGATAAAGGGCCAATATGAAAAACCTAATGTAAACTTATAATTTACAAAGATACATGTATTTATTAGAAAGACAGTGAAAAACAAATAAGGGCCCAATGAAAGCCTCATTACAAAGTTCAAGTGGCCTGAACACAAAGTTTTTAATACTGGCCCTTTATCAGGTTTCTTTCTTACCCTTGTGGTTCTTGATTCCAGTTTTTGGTCCGTCTGTTTTCCGCTCCCTGTGTCTTACTATTCTGAAATTGCCCAGTGCATAACATTCTAAATTGATATTAATGTTTAAAACAACTTCTAGAAATAAACCACAGGTATACAAGCCTTTTTAAATTAAAAATACATACTTCCAATTACATAAAAATGTTTACCATAACTAAGCATTACTAAAAGCAAAAACTGGAATTCTACAAATCTGACCTAGTATTTTTCCCTATGCAAATACAGGCAAAGGTAAGTTGTTTGACAGAAGTGATGAAATTTACATATACAACTGTGTGCTACAAAACTGCTGCATTTGTACAAGCTAAACAAGGAAAAATTCAAAAGTTTCAAATCAAACCCAAATTCAAATCCAGCAACCTTTGCAACTACAATCAGGAACACAACTTTAAAAGAAATATTGTTAGGATATACCTTTAATTAGAGAACAATGAGCAACAAATACATTTGGCCTGCATTTTACAGAATCAATAAGAAACCTGAATTACCCCAAACATAAGAATGAGAACTAAAGCTACTTTTTCAAAAATGCAAAGATGTAGAGCTGGATCCTGTAACAAGAGGTTTTAATACAGAATAAATAGATGTGGAAGTAGTACCCAGTCAATGGAAGTATACCCATCCTTTTAAAGCACTTTTCAGTATTCATGTTTAGAGGTTTCAATACATTGGCCACAATCCAGCCAGCTCCTTCATGGGACACAAATTCTGTAAATAAATAAATATCCCATGAACTGAAGTAGGAAAAGACCAAATGATTATTCCACCTTTTGTCAGCAAGGCCAGCCTCAAACTTTCAAGTGGTCATTTAAAGCAAGCTGAATGCACGTGCATTATGAATCTGACATAACACAAATACAAAAGTACCCAAAACGTCAAAGAAGCACTGAACCAAAATAAAATTTCTCAGGGGTTCAGATTTAAAATAAGGGCTGAACACCAACATAGAGTCCTTCACAGAAATTCAGTTTAGAAACCTTTTCCAGATCTCTGTCCATCATTTCTGTTTCTTACTCTTGCTCCTCTGAAACAAAAGGAACAACTTGAAGGGCAAGCCAGTTAAGAAAGGTGTTTATACGTGTTAACAGAAAATTCTCCCTTTGAAATGGGTTCTTCGTGAGCATTAGCTTCACTGTGTGTGCATATAAAGTGCCATTGGGTCCCAACTGACTTAAGGCGTCCCCATAGGGTTTTCAAGGCAAGAGACTTCAGAGGCAGTTTGCCAGTACCTGCCTCTGGGTAGTGACCCTGGAGTTCCTTGGTAGTCTCCCATCCAAATACTAACCAGGGCCAACCTGCTTAGCTTCCAAGATCTAGTGAGATCAGGCTGGCCTCAGCCCTCCAGGTCAGGGCATTTGCTTCACTAAAGAATAAATTAGCCCAACAAATTCAGACGGTCAAGTCTTGCTTTGGTGGAAACACCTGGAAGTTCCACAGCATGTCCAGAAGCATTTGTGAAAGCCATTCTCTTTAACAAGAAATCACACCTCTTGTTTCACATAGCTTATTACTAAAGGAATCCTTTCACATTCTCATACAAGAATGTTTTTTTTCCTTATATGAAAGGCATCAAACCCATCAATTTGGCAATTTATGACTAAGAAGGGTGAGGTTACAGATTTAAAAACGCTACTTTGTATGCAAACTTTAATATATGAAGTCCAGTGTTGAAACAAATTTCCAAACACTGCATTTGATAATAGTCTCTTCAATAATATTTATACAAAAGATACTCTAAAAGGTTACTATAAGGTTAGAAGTGATTTGGAAAAGGCTATCAAGAGTCCATTTTTTAAATATCCCTTAAAAAATAATCCTTATTCACTACCAGTCTAAATTTCGAGACTAAAAAGCATTCTAGAAATGATACAGCAGCTTTATATAACCCTGAGGCTATTTGGATTTCTTCTATTTTAATGTATAATTTTTAAAACCGTAAATGGATTTTTGGTCACTTACTAAGTTTGAATAAAATCTGGAGAAAAATACAGCTTTAAGGAAATGTTTTATAAAGAATAAATACTTTCCTATGAAATGCAGACTACATTATTGCCACGAATCCAAGAACTAAACTATAAGGTATGCTTCTTCTAAATTTCCAGTCTTTCTACCAAGAGAAGGATCCATTTGACAGCACAATTCTGTAACATTCACTAGTAGTTTTTATATATGCACAAAGGGAAAGCAAGAGTTGGAATAAGAGTGAAATTGTACTGCTATGAAGACTGACGGAATGGGAAAATGCAAGCGCTTAACACACAGTTTCTGTTCCAGTAACACAAAAGAAACTAAATGGTTCGATCACTGTTCCCTGTATAAGTAGTAGAGGTAACACAGGCACAAAGTTTATAATTCTCAAACATAAAATAGCTATCATTGAAGCATATTATTAAAATCCCTGGGATGGATCCAAAGGTATTGTTCTATAGTGTTAAAGCACTTCTGTTGGTTGTGGAGGCAGAGTACAATTTGTGCAGATTCTCCTCTCCCATTGCTGTCCCATCCTTTGTACCCCATGCTATTTGTCAGAGTCCCTAAGTCCCACAAGCAAAACTGGGAGAAGGGAGGGGCAGTAAAGGCAGCAAAGCCCCATTCTGCAAGCCCTGCTCAGCTTGAAGGTTGGACTAACCAGAAGTGCCTAAAAATTCACAAGTCTGATTTACAAACATCAGCAGCCAGAGTTTTCAGTAGTACAACTCAAGGAAGAAACTGGCTAGAAATACATAAAAGTAAAAATATCCCTATTTTTAAGTTACCCTTGAACTTAAATACCACCAACTTTGATGAGACTTACAAGACTTGCAAGTGACTTATGAGCAGAACTGCTAATATTTTGGCTTACTCCATTCTTCCCTGTAGTAAACCCAAAGAAAGCAGCTTTAAAAACTACCAGTTAAAATGCCAGTCCTGTTCACATGCCACTTATACATTATTTTTAGAAGTCTCCCGGATAGTGAGAGGGGAGTCACCTGATCTGTAGTGCTTCATTATGAAACAGCAAAAAGGTGTTTGGTGTTTCCAACTTCTTCTTTTTTTAAGAGGTATGTGTAACCACAGGGATGTCAATTTCAATGGCAGAATGGCGGGATCGTGCAGAATATGGTTGGGAAGCATAGCTATGTACACTGGGCGCATGGGAATACAGGGGCTGCCAGAAAGGGGACGGCAGTGTTTTGCATGCACAATACCAGAGGAATAAGAGAATGGCTGTGAAGAGCAAGCCTCCTGCACTGGCAATAGCGATGAACACAGAAATGTCAAAGGAGAAAACAGGCTCGTATTTTTTGTTCATTTCCTGGTTATGGAAGATGACCCAGATAGATGGACCCAAACAAATGACACATGCAAGGAGAAAGAAGAGGCCGGCCACAAGATGGCAACCTGCGCTGTTTATGAGACATCTGGCTTGCTTGATGTTTGGCACAGATGAGATGAAGGCTGTGTTACACATGCCAATCAAACAGAGAAACAGAGCCAACACCGTAGTTAACATGCTTATGGGAAGAGTAAACTGGAGGATGCGCAAATCCAACTGATCCACAGCTGTATACCACTCAGTGTCATAAATCACACAGTCTTTGCTTCCGTCAAAACGAACACACTTAATCCAGAGTCCAGTGTAAACCGTCACATTCTTTTCGTTTTTGTTAAAGGTGCATAGTCGCATTTGTCTCCAGTTGGGAAGCAGGGCGGCAGCGATAAGTCCTGATAAGGCAGCTGTTCCAGAAAGGAAAGCCAGGACTGTTGCAGCATGAACGTCACGGCAACCCATGTCTAGCCAATGAAGATGCTTCCTAGGGAAGAAAATGTTACCAAGTGAATAACTCCTATTTCACAATAAGTAAAGAGGAAATTATCTCTACTACAGTTCTACAAATTAATCCAGAATAATACCTGAAATCATCCTTTAAATAACTTGTTTGCCATGTATGGCTCAGTTCTTCTAAAGTACTGCACTGCACTGGATTCTGATTCAATTGTCATTTTTTAAAAAATAATCGTTTTTTGAAAGATCATATCATTTGGTAGATATAAAACAGCAGGCATTTCTTGGTATAGCAGTATAATCTGGCAACCTTGTTCTAATCTCTTACTGAGTCTTCAGTCACTGAAGTCAGGACTTGCTTGTAAGTGATGCTTGTGGTAGAATGTGCTGTCAAGACCCAGCTGACTCATGGCGGCCCTGTAGGGTTTCCAAGGCAAGGGATGTTCAGAGGTGGTTTGCCACTGCCTGCCTCTGCATCATGACCCCGGTATTCCTTGGAGGTCTCCCATCCAAATACTAGACAGGACTGACCCCACTTAGCTTCTAAAATATGATGAGGTCGGGCTAGCCTGGGCTATCCAGGTCAGGGCATAAGTGATGCTAGGAATACCTAAAACATTTCCAAGAATGCCAGTGGTAAATAAAATCCTCTCCATTATATCCCAAATAGTTTTAAATAGTTTCAGTCCAACTGAATTAGGAACAGTGATCTTATATTAAAAGTTCTTATAATACAGCAAACATTTAGACATGAATGTGATGAAGGACAGAGGCTTGGAACATGTTTTTAGGCCAGAATGTCACTACTTGTAGCAAAAGCAAATGAAAAGGTTACAGTAATCAAAACCTTCTTAAACTATTACATTGTGTGAGTTTATCTGCCACCCCCATCCCCAACACCGATCTTATTTAGCTAAGAGAATACATTCCTTTTTGTTCTTATAAATTTAGAGTTCTGGATACCAGAACTTGCATGGTGATGTGGATATAGCTTTTACTGTACATGTTAAAGCAATATCGAATGTATTTTTAAATAACATTTTTTATCTGCGAAGCAGGATTCAAACCAACTTACAAATCTAAAAAACAATCTAAAATCTCATTACAACAGCAGAACAGCTCCTCTAGGATGGCAGACATATATTCCAGCCAGATACTTTAACTCAGGAAAGTTCTTAGACTGTCAAAAGCTCACCTACACAGTTTGTAATTAGATCAAGAAGGGCAGTCATGTTTGTCTCTAACAGTAGAAAAGAGCAGGAGTCCAGTAGCACCTTGAAAAATAACAAAATATGTGGCAGGGTATGAGCATCTGAAGAAGTGAGTAGTGACTCACAAAAGCTCCTACCTTGCCGCATATTTTGTTAGTCTTTAAGATGCTACTGGACTCTTGCTCTTTTCTACTGCTACAGTTTGGAATTATGCAACTTCCTGGGCCTCTGGAGCTGCTTTCTAGGTTTAAGTGGGGTGGTAGTGGCTGAGCTAGTGGAACAGATCAGCCCTTGATGAAATGTTCTCTCCTGACACACAAATGTTTTTCATATTTCCCAAAGTAAAGATCACATTAAACTTTACAAAGTATCCATAAGCACTAGAGAGGGAAAGGTCTGGGGAGAAAATAAAATTCAGGGGGGAAATGGGGTCGTCCCCCCAAGAACTTTTTTCAAAATTTCTGATTTTAAAAAATTAGAAAATTGGAGGAACACACAAAATGCTCCCCATCCTATGAAAGATGTTCTTTTTGAGAATTCTCCCCCCCCCCATACCTTCAAAATTTCTGGAATTTTTTAACCTCTAGTAAGCACCTGCTTGTCACCTAAAGTGCATAATAAATTTCTGACTTTTGACAGTCACATTAGATGCAGCTTGTTACTTCCTGGGACAAGCTATTTTTATTTTTTTTAATGAGAATGCAAACTTACCAAGCAGGGTAATCAAGTCACGAACAACTACTACTTGCAGAAGAAAAACTCTAGATCTAAGGGAAAAAAGAACATTTGGAGTTAAGTGCCATGTTTTGAGTCATTCATTAATATTTAACTCTAAACATTTTATCCTATGCTGTTAATATTCAACATTTTAATGAAGCAGCCAAAACTTACTTTTGTTATCATAATCTCCTGCAGACAGTCCTTTTCATTGACTGGAGAGTTTCAAAAAGGAAATCCTTGTCTACCACCTTATCATGCTTTCATACAAACACCTATCTCCTCACATGTCCTATGAATAATACAGGTACATATGAAGCTACCTTATATCATCTAGTGGCTCTGCAGAGGCTCAGGTAGAGAAGGATTGATCCTGGCAACAGCTACCTGAGGCTTGTTACACATGCAAAAGAATACAACAGGGGGAAAAAAGGCACAGCACTGAGATGTTAAATAGATCTCTATTTTATTGTTGTACACTGCCCTGAGCCCTATTTTACAGAGGAGGGCAGTTTAAAAACCTAAATAAACAAATAAATTGTGCCACTTCAAAATGTAAGTGGGAGATTACATTTTTTTAAAAAAATCCCCTACATTAGAATAAAAATAGAAGTTTATTTATTACTAGGAATAAGGCCCATTGTGGAAATAAATACAACTAGCTCTAGAAAGAGGCTCTGGGCGGGTGCCCTGGCCTTGGGCACTCAATGTCAATTTCCTGTGGTGACCTCAGCAGTGTATAATGACACAGAGTCCACTGTTTTCTCCAGGGGAACTGACCTCTGCCATCTGGAGAGCAGTTTAAATTCTGAGTATCTCCAGCCCTCACCTGGAGATTGGCAACAATGGTTCCCCAGGAGGAAAAATACAGTCTTTCTCCATAGTGGGGACTAAAGCAGCATACATCATTCTCTTCTCCCCCTTTTGATGAATGTTGAGTGTTAATTTCACAGATTAGAATTGTTGACGTGTAAACCAATATTACTCACACAGCACACTTAGAAAACGCGGTCACGTGAAACGGTAGCATATGCAAATTCAATTTGCGTACATCTTTATTATTTGTTGAAGACATATGACTCACTGCAAAATAGCAGTCTAAATATATTTTCATAATACTATATCACGGCTGTTTTCATCATTATTTGCATCCTTCCCGTGATCTCTCTGTTGTTTCTACAAACCTCCAGGTGAAACCTGGAGACCTCCTGGCATTATAACAGATCTCCCAGCTATAGAGATCAGTTCTAGTTGGGAAATTCCTGGAGATTTGGGGGTGGAGTCTTGGGAAGGTGAGGTTTAGGGACTTGGGGAGGGACGCAATCTCAACAGGGTATAATGCCATAGAGTTCACCCTCCAAAGCACCCATTTTCTCCAGGGGAACTAATCTCTGTCATCTGGAGAGCAGTTGTAATTCTGGGCGATCTCCAGCCCCAAACTGGAGGTTGACAACGCTAGTTCCCCTGGAGAAAATGGCTGCTTTAGAGGGTGGACTCTATGGCATTATACCCCTCAGAGGTCCCTCCCCTCCTCTAACCCTACCCTTCCTAGTCTCCACCCCCCGAAACTCTAGGAATTTCCTAATGTGGAGGTAACCCTATCTCCTTCCTATCCAACAGCCAACCTACCTTCATCTGCCCCTTAGTCTTTCCCTTTCCCCTTCGCTGGTTGCCTCTGCATAGGAAAACTGTGGCCTAGTTGTGTGGTGCCGGCCACTGGGCAAGGCCCACTTGTATGGCAGGGAACCCTCACATGGTAGGCACCTCACTTTCCCCTCTATCTTCCTCCCCACACTTTCTTCTTTCCGCCCTCCTGGCAACCTCCATATCCTCTCCCCTTTCCCTGCTGTATTCTCTCCCCCCCCCCAGTCATTCACAAGCCTACCTTTTATCTGTCTCCCATCTTCAGATATATTTATCATTTATTTACTTCATATATCTTGCACCTTTCTCCACAGTGGGGACCAAAGCAACTTATATTATTCTGAAGTAGGTCTGAAAGAATGTAACTGGCCTAAAATCATCCAATGAGCTTCCACAGCAAAATGAAATTTGAACCTGGATCTCCCAGACTCTACTCTAAAACTCTAACTTCTACACTGCACTGGCTTTCATAGGGTGGCTGCTGTTGAAGAGTAGCAAGCAGTCATACCTAGTTGGGTTATGAAAGCTGGGTGATAGTAAGTCACCCAGAGGCTGCTTCCAGGCCTAAGGTTGCCAATTTCTAGGTGGGACCTAGAGATCTCTTATAATTACAACTGAACTCCAGATGACAGATATCTGTCCACCTGGGGAAAATAACTGCTTTGGAGGGTGGACTCTGACATTTTTTTCAGCAGAGGCCTCTCCCCTCCTCAAACTGTGCCCTCCTCAGACTCTACCACAAAATTTCCAGTAATTTCCCAACCTGGATCTGGCCACCCTAGTCAGGCCTGGTCCCCAGCTGCCCTCCCTCAAAGGCCAAAATAGGCCTGGAAAGGGCTCTTCTCCTCCCTCTTGCTTTTACTGACAGTGGTTGCCTAGCAACAGCCACTGAGGGGATCTGTTGCTTAAAGCTACAGGTGCTCCTTTAATCATTTCCGGCTTTTTAAATCAGCCCAATTTTTAAAATATTTCACATTTTTCTGCAAACCGGGTACCCTTTTCAGGTTAGTAGAAAGATCTGTCTTGCCCATTCATAGCTCCAGTCACTGGATTTAAGTCCCCAAATTTTGGCCGATTTCGCTATTAGAATATAAAAGATATGGGTCATCCTTGCACTAACCCTGAGAAGATATACCAGTTCTACAGAGCAGAAAAAGAGCTATAGATATTTTCTTCAGGCTACTCATGGGATCTAAAGCTGGGCTGAAATCTGAACCCAAGCTTTCCTTTGTCTAAAGCTAGCATGAGCTCAATAATATTGGCTTGGAAAGGCAATTCTCACGCAAGGCAACTTCTATGGACAATAGGGATGCCATCATCCCCTAGTCATAGTTGCCTCACTTCACCTCACCATGAGGTAGCTTTATACTTCTCTCTAAGCATCAAAACAGACAATGTTAAATACATCAAGAAGTTTTAACTTCTGTTCCTCACTTATCTGTGTTGTAGGAGAATTGCAAGTGTGAACAAGCCTAAGTACGAAACACTCTACTGCC